AGAACAATATACGAGGAGATAAGAGAGAAGCCAATATTTTCACATAAAAAATAAATATACGAAGAAGTCAAGAGAATTTAATATTATATATATAAACAAATTTACCTATATATACAGTATAATTTTTCAGCAAAAAAATGTCGAACAAATACAACTTTAAGTTGTCAAAAGTTACAGCTACTGATTTATTAAAATGATCATATATATATATATATATTTAGTTATTAACTCTACTTTTTCTTTTAATTTTTCTAGTGGCATCTTTTAAATAGTAACATCTTTTTAGTTTAAAATTATTTTCGTATAAGTTCTAGAAGCTGATTAGCTTGTAAAAATCTATATATGCACGTGAACCTAGTAGCTTTTATCTAGATGATATGTGTATTAAAAAAATTATTAAGTATTTCTAAATATTTAATTGTAGATCTAATTATTTAATTTAATATAGTTATAAAAGCTCAAAAATTTAAATCTTTAATCTGCCTCCGATGATTTGTAATAGTAATTTTACAAAGCTTATACTACATGGTAGTCGCAAAAAATCCTTTTTAGGAAGATTTGAGCATGAGACTCAGATTTCAATTAGATAATGTTATTATTATAAGATAAGCTTAATGACCAAAATATTACACTTGGGCACAAAAATTTAGATAAAGTATAATTAAACTCCTAGTTTTTAAATGAAATCACAGATTAAAAGTGATTTGACCCATTTGACTTCTGAAAAAATAACTTATTTTATACAACAAAACTGAGGGTGGACATGTTACTCAATCCAAAAGGCAAAATGGAGAAATTATTGTTTAAATAGTTAGTTCATTTATTGGATCTCATTATATACCAAATCTAAAGCGATATAAATATAATACTGACAAAGTTCATATGCCCTTCTTGATGTAATAAATATAAGAAATGATCAGTAAAATGAGGAATTATTTAAGTGACAAAGAACTTGCTTCTAGGTTAATAGTGTAATTTTTTTTTATACTAACACTGTATACAAATAGTTTAACTTCTGTCTACTAACATTGCATAATTTTTTTAAATCTTCAAATTATATCGATTGATCTTCAACAATAAATAACTTTATGTAACTCCTAATTTGATATATAATATAAAAATAATGTAAATGACCTACTTTAGCAAAGTATATACTGATATAACATAGAAATAAATTACTACAATATCAGTATAAACACGATAAAAGCTGGTGTTTATACAAAATTAATCATACTAATTTACATGGTTGAGTAATTAAGGTGAGATCATGTATTTCAAAAAAAAAGGGACAGTATGGTGCACGCAACATCCCGCGTTCATGCAGAGTCCGGGGAGGGCCACATTCCAAAGGAGTGTTATGTAGGCAGCCTACCCTTATGCATGAATCAGTGGTTGATTCCGCGGCTCGAACCCGTGACTTATAGGTTCACACGAAGACAACTTTACCATTGCTCTAAGGCTCCAAGATGAAAATATATATTAATTAACTATAATTTAGTAATAAGAATATACGACAACAACAATAAACCTAGCTTAATCTCATATGTGGGGTCTGGGAAGGGTAGTGTGTACACAGCCTTATTCCTACCGTATAAAAGCAGGGAGGTTGTTTCCGATAGGTCCTCGTCTTAAGAAACGGTAAAAATAAAGTAACAAGCAATAACAACAGTAATATAATAAGTAATGAAAGCGAGTGACTTAGTAATAAGAATACGTGTGAAGATATATATATATGTCGTGCATTTATTGAATTGGTGTAAACGTAAACTAATATTACCCTATAAACACACACATGTGCACATGCAACTACAACATAAGCATACATTAAGAAGGGATAGAAGACATTCTTTTTCTTCCTTAGAAAAACAAATCTTCTTTCTTAACTAAATAGGTTATCCTTAATGTCTTCTTCAGAGATGATTTCCACAGTCCAAGATTGTCAAAGGGCAATAATGGCTGCACCATTCTTGACAAAAACATACCAATTAGTAGATGATCAAAGTAGTAATCACATTGTTTCATGGGGTGAAAATGACACTACTTTTGTTGTTTGGAAACCTCTTGAGTTTGCTAAAGATCTTCTTCCCAACTATTTTAAACACAATAATTTCTCCAGCTTTGTTAGGCAGCTCAATACATATGTGAGTTACCTCCTCCTCTCTCTTTTTATTTAATGATACGAGTTCAACTTAAATAAAACATTATTCATGATTCATATACACCTCGACTTGTTTAGGATCAAAGTTTTTTTTTTTTTTTTTTTCTCTCGGAACTTACCAAGAAATATTGGAGTTTTATTCCTAGATTTCTTCTGCACTTCTTTTCTTTGATAACATCATGAATTCAGCTTAAATGAAACAGTGATGATTCATATAGTCGACCCCAAATTATTTGGGATTGTGGCGTAACAATTGTTGAGTATTTGTCAAAACTTACCAAGAAATAGAGTTTCTCTCCTGAATTTCTTCTGCATTACATAATCCTTTTTGCTCCATTTCTTTTATTAAAAAATATTTATGATTTTATAGAGAAATGCATATTTTCTGTTGCTCCTAAGGATATTAGCCGACAATATATATATTTTTTGTGTATGTGTATATTATATACAACACATATACACATTTTAGCTAGCAAATACAATTAGTTTCGGCCAACCAACCATATTTGTATTTTGTTATATTTTTCATCTTCTTTTACTATTATTTAGCGATATAGTGTTGCTTTGAAGGAGACATATGAAATTTTTGAGAGTGTTCATATATTAATTAATAGTGAGATTGTAAGAGTGAACTCAAAGAAAAAATTTATCCTTTGCTTTGTGTAGCTTAATTTTTAGACTAGTATTATTAATTTGTTCAAAGAATTGGTGAAATTTAAACCATATTAAAAAAAGAAATTTTTACACAAATAGTTGTTCATATTCATTGTTTACTTTTTCTATCCATATATATAGATTATACATTGATTAACATAATTATATACATATAATACATAAATTATGCATATATTATACCTTCACCTGCTATTTTTAATTTAAGTAATAAATAATAGCTAAGAACCTCAAATAAAAAAATAAAAAGAATAAGATAAAAAGTACAGCCACAAACAACTCCATTATCCAAGATTTGATATCTCATCCACATTATATATCTTGGTTTTCTAGTTTCCATTATGTATGGTTGGGTGCTGAGGCTTATTTTCTAACAACATAATCATTTTGTTAGGAAAACTTTCCATAATTCTACAAAAGGTACTTTATATTTATAAAGATTTGATATATATATATATATATATATATATATATATATATGATTAGCCATGAATTGGCAAGTTTTACGCTGACTACCAACTTACCGCAATATGTCTTGTTTTTTTCGACCTTCAGACTGACAATATAAGCAAGCTCACACGTGCGAAGTTGCTTTATTCATGGAGTATCAAATTTCTGGTTTTTATTTATTTCTTTTTTCAGGGATTTAAGAAGATAGTTCCAGACAGATGTGAGTTTTCCAATGAGAATTTCAAGAAAGGGCAAAAACACTTACTTTGTAAGATCCAAAGAAGAAAGAGTACAACTCAACAACTTCACCATTTGAAACCCTACCATGAAAATATCACAAAAAACATATTGTATCAGCCAAAAACACAAAATAACCCTAGTACTGATGATTTCCTTTTGTTAACACTCACACAAGACAATCAAAGGCTGAGGAAAAGAAACAATTTACTATTATCTTAACTCGCTCACATGAAGAATCTATATAACAACATTATTTATTTCATTCAGAACTACGTTAAACCTGTTGATCAGAAGTCCTGTTTGTTTTTACTTAATGAAGGTCTGAATCTTAGAGTCAATGATCATCGTCATGATCATCAAGTAAATATTGAAGATGAAGAGCCAAAGAGTAGTAGTGTAAAGTTGTTTGGAGTGAGTTTATGTGGGAAGAAGAGATTGCACCATCAATTGATTGATCAAGAAGTATTAGAATGTTGATTAGTGAACATTTCCTTATGGAGCAATAGTACTGTAGATAGAACTTAGCTTTTTAGATTAAATTAGTTGCCCGATGCATAAATTTTTCTGCGTTTATGTAGGATGCACGGAAGGGCCGTGCTTCAAAGGTGTGATATAGGCAGTCTATCCTAATGCAAGCATTAATGGTTGCTTCCATGGATCGAACACGTGGCATATATGTAAAAAAAGGGCAACCGAGTGAACTAAGCTCCCGTTATACGCGGGGTCCGGGAAAGGGCCGGACCACAAGGGTCTATAGTACGTAGTCTTATTCTATATTTCTGCAAGAGACTGTTTCCACGGCTTGAACCCGTGACCTATATGTAACAAGAAGACAATTTATCGTTGCTCCAAGGCTCCGCTTCACCAAATCTCTTCAATTATATGATTTTCGTTTAATTGACTTATTAGTTAGTGCCAAAACTTACACATACTGCTTAATACTCCTAATTATCTTGTCCCTTGCTTTATTACTTTGTAGTTCAAATTATGTTCTAATGATGCTGAATCTTCAACCGACGACTGATGTATACACAAAATCATATTAGTTCACCATAGTTAAGTGATACATTGGGTAAAAATATGCATTAACTAATCATGGTTAAGTATAAAAGTGCATATAAAGACACGTGTCATGTGTTTGGTTCAAACATCGGGTGTAATTAAATTTTTCTAGACCCGATATGTACAAGAAATTATATTAGTTAACCACGATTAAGTGATATATGAATGGTAGTAGTACAATTTTAAGTGTAGTTAAGATCTTGTACTTGCTATATGTATTTTATCATTTGTAGTACTTGCACAAAATCTTCAACTAATCAATTTGTAGTACCAATGAGTGAAGTAGAATGTGTGTAGTACAATATGTAATTTGTACTTTATTTTTGACAAAGACATCACATAATATACAAATTTATTGTCCTAGAAGTACCAGTACAATTGTAGTACTGTGTTATACAATTTACACCTTCAAAATCTCCCCTTTATATGTTTTCAAGATCAACATGATTTCTCATAAAAGTTAAAGTGTCTTATATAAATAGGTGGAAGTGTTCAATAGGGGCAACCTAAGATCATATGTATGACGTTTTTTTTATTTTAATAATTTTTGTAATTGTGATACATATGTTCTCAGGTCGCCCCTGTTGAACTATTTTCCATCATTTGATTGAATAAGATTTTTGATCGAGATTGTTGGTGTTGGCGATGTTGGATTTGATTCACTATCTCGATTTATTTTAAAAGATTGACCAAGGTGAGCTTAAGGATGAATAATTTTCTCTCTATTAACCCCAAATTGCATGTTAATTTTTTTTCTATAACAATTATGCACTATTTCCTTGTCAACAATTTGATGAGATTCATGTCCCACATTATTCTTTGGGAAAACTATGCAATATAGTCACTTCCAAAAATTATAGTCGGTAAAAATATATTATTTGTATATTAAAGTATAATATATATATATATATATATATATATAAAAGTATGTATGTATGTATGTATGTATAGCGAAATAATTATTTTTAGCCGACCGACTGAATGTGTAATTTGCCCCTTTTTCTCTTGTATCTTCTGGTTTGCCCTAGGTAATTTTTCATCCCAATATTGGTCCAGTTTCCTTTTGCAATGGGTGAGAGTAAGTTTATGGCCCAATTATATTTGGACTTAAGCCCAATTATTACCAGAGGCATGACAAATGTACAGACTTATTGCTTTATTCATTTTCCCTATGAACTTTTCAATAAGAATTAGAAAACTGGGATTATAATGCATATATATATATATATATATATATACTAGTTTTAGTGTACGTGCGTTGCACGTGTATTTTGTGCCTATTAATTAAAAAATATATAGAATATTGAATACGAATGAATTATTATAATAGCAATTGATGTAGAGATATATACAACGATCATTTAAATTAAAAAAAATACTTTATCTGAAAATATAATTGTATTGACAAAATTAAATTCTAGGGATAACTTCAAGCTAGAAGTACTTTGGCCATGTTTATGGGAAAATTTACTTTTTTCAGCTTCTACCACTATTCGAAAGTACCTCAAAACACCTTAACTCTCCAAAATAAGCACATTTAAAAAGAAATATTTATCTTTGACTTCCCAAAAACTTGGCCAAACAGACTGGCTTACATATTTGGATGTGAGCAATGTGGTGAGAATCGACATTTTTTAATTTGTCTAATTCAATTTGAAGTTTGATCGTCCAATTCGTATAGAGGCGTCAAAAGAACATTAAACAACCAAACTACATTATCTTAACGAATTCATTCTATGAGCTATTGTAGGTTCGATAACTTTGGGAAAAGAAATATATGGACATATAATATAAGTATATAATGTAAATAATTAAAACATTAAATTAAAAGGAAAAAA